GGCGCCTTAGCCACTCGAGCCACAAGCGCCAAGCCTGAAGGCACAATTTCTACAAGGCCAAATGGAGTAGTAGAAAGACATAGGAGGGTATGGTTGAGCAATGTGGGAGAAACCCTGCCTAGGGGATCTCATCAGGGAAAGCTTTCCAGAAGAAGAAATTATAGCAACTCCCTCAAGAGTCAGAGCTGAGCTTTGACACTCTTGATGTTTATGGTATACTTTATGGTATACTTGTCATTGCTCCAAGGCTGGGGGCTCAGCCCTGGCAGAGAGCAGATAGGCTGGACAATATGAGGTATTTCTTCTTTTCCCTGTATCAAAAGAGCAAGAAGCACTAGAACTTTTCGTCTCGCCAAGAGTAGGGCTGGACCCAAGGCATATTAAGTTTCAAATTGGCAGACTAGGATTTTCAGTTTCTCTTGGTAGCAAGCAGGTTCCTTAGTAAATAATGGCCTGTGGTCTCAATCAACACTGAAGTTTGGCCAGGAGAGCTTCCTTTTTTTTTTTTTTTTTTAATAATAAACTTCATTTTTTAATTATTTTTTTTGTTGTTGTTGTTGCAGGTTTGCCAGGGCTGGGTTTGAACTCACCACCCTCGGTATATGGGGCCGACACCCCACTCACTAAGCCACAGGCACCACCCAAAAGCTTCCTTTGAAACAGGACTTTGAGCGCCTGTTGCCAGAGTCTGATACTCTGAGGAAGGGTCAATGAGCTATGTTAGGAAGCTCTAGAAGACCAGTGTTAATGAGCCCTCCATCCAGGGTCAATGCCAAGGTCATTTCTGTGGCCCTGTGTAGCCGTACTTCCACACTGGTTCTTCTAAGATGTAGGCTTGGTGGCAGGAACCTGGCATGACTTACTGTTTGTTCTAGAGCTTTTGGGGGATGGGGGCAGTCAAACTTTGGCAAACATCTGGATTTGCTCCAGAACTGCATTAAAAGAAGTGGCTCTTTATTGGAAATGAGAAGTAAATGTCCTTGGTCATGCCTGTAGCCAAGTCAAACAGATTAATAACACTACTTAATAGCAAGGAAAGTTATCTGCAGCCAACACTGCAGACTCGGGCCTTAGAAATGTACCCTTGGAGGCCAGGCATGGTGGCTCACACCTGTAATCCTAGCACTCTGGGAGGCTGAGGTGGGTGGATTGCCTGAGTTCAGGAGTTTGAGACCAGCCTGGGTAAAAGTGAGACCCCCGTCTCCAAAACTAGCCAGGTATTGTGGCAGGTGCCGGTAGTCCCAGCTACTTGGGAGGCTGAGGCAAGAGAATAGCTTGAGCCCAAAAGTTTTGAGCTTGCTGTGAGCTGTGATGCCACGGCACTCTACCAAGGGCAGCAAAGTATGACTCTTGTCTCTAAAAAAGAAAAGAAAACTGTACCTTTGGGAACTTGGACTTAGCTCTTTGTGTGTATGTGTGTATGTTTATTGGAGTGTCTTGTAGCCCAAATCACCTGCCCCCAATGTGGAGTAACAGGAGCATGGGATAAGACCTAGAGTTCCCAGCCTTGGACATGGGGGTCCAGGAGGCCTCTGTTGTTGGCAGATCACTGCAGGAAAGCCTAGATCATGTCTCCTTGGCAGTTATTGAACCGGAGGCTATGGCTTGTATCATATCCTTAGTAAAGATTGTGGGGTGCCAAGTACCCTGCATTATCTAACTTAATTCTCTCTCTTTTTTCTTTGAGACAGAGCCTCAAGCTATTCCCTTGGGTATGTGGCATCACAGCTCACAGCAACCTCTAATTCCTGGGCTCAAGCGAGTCTTCTGCCTTAGCCTCCCAAGTAGCTGGGACCACAGGCGCCCACCACAACGCCCAGCTTTTTTTTGGTTGCAGCCGTCGTTGTTTGTCAGGCCCGGGCTGGATTCATACCCGCCACCTTAGGTGTATGTGGCTGGTGCCTTAGCCACTTGAGCCACAGGCGCTGAGCCATCTAACTTAATTCTCACGGCAGGTAGACTTTCCACCACCCTCTTTCCAGAAGTGTGAATCATGTGGACATATAACACTATGATTCTCCTTGGCAAGGAGAGATCAGATCCCCCTTTTAAAATGTTGTAATCGGCTTGGCGCCTATGGCCCAAGCAGCTAAGGCACCAGCCACATACACCTGAGCTGGCGAGTTCAAATCCAAACAACAGTGATGGTTCCAAAATAATAGCCAGGCCTTGTGGCAGGCGTCCATAGTCCCAGCTACTTGGGAGACTGAGGCAAGAGAATTGCTTAAGCACAGGAGTTGGAGGTTGCTGTGAGCTGTGATGCCACAGCACTCGACTTAGGGCAACAGCTTGAGATAGTCTCAAAAAAAATAAAATGTTGTAATCTTTTCTTTTCTTTTTTTTTTTTTTTTGAGACAGTCTCACTTTGTCACCTTTGGTAGAATGCTGTGGCATTGTAACTGACAGTAACCTCAAACTCTTATGCTCAAGTGATTCTCTTGCCTCAGCCTCCCCAGTAGCTGTGACTACAGGTGCCTGCCACAACGTCTACCTTTTTTTGTTTGTTTGTTTAGCAGGCCAATGCCGGGTTTGAACCCACCAGCCCCAGAGCATGTGGCCAGTACCCTAACCACTGACTATAGGTGCACCAAAATGTTATAATCTCTAGTAATGACACAAGAATACCTGAGTTACAAAGCAAAACAAAATGAACTCCCAAGAACCTAACTGCTGTCCTTACTACAGATGAAGAAACTGTGGTTTAAGCTCAGCATGTGGTTTAACCAAGGTCACAAAGCTAGTAGGTAACAGGGCGGCCCCTGTGGCTTAAGGGGTGCCAGCCCCATTTGCTGGAGGTGGCGGGTTCAAACCCAGCCCTGGGCAAAACTGCCGGGGGCTGGGGGGGAGGAAAAAAAAAAAAGCTAGTGGGTCGCAAAGCTCAGGTTTGAACCCAGGTCTGTTCAGCTCCCCAGCTCTTGTGTGGCACTTCTCACTGTGTGCTAATGGATTTTAATAGGTGTTGAGAGAAGGTTCTTTGGTCAGTACTCAGGTAAGCAAAGTCAGCAGGTTCTTTTGATGCAGTAATTCTTAGATTCTTTTCTTTTTTTTGGTTGGGGGCTGGGTTTGAACCCACCACCTCCGGTATATGGGGCCGGCGCCCACCCCTTTGAGCCACAGGTGCCACCCAATTCTTAGATTCTTTTAATACATAAATACTTTATACAGTGTCTGTGGCTTAGAGAGTAGGGCGCTGGCCCCATATACCGAGGGTGGCAGGTTTGAACCTGGCCCCAGCCAAACTGCAACAAATATAGCCAGTGTTCTGGCAGGTGCCTGTGGTCCCAGCTACTCTGGAGGCTGAGGCAAGGGAATCACCTAAGCCCAGGAGTTGGCGGTTGCTGTGACACTACAGCACTCTACTGAGGGTGATAAAGTGAGACTCTGTCTCTTAAAAAAAAAAAAACAAAAAAACACACACATATATATATGCTTTTTGAAACTTCAGTCGGTATTTTGCAAATTAATTAAACTATAGACATTTGTCCATAGTCTCTTGTGAGATTAGTGTTCACAGATAAAATTTTATAAAACTTTGGTCTAGGGCTCGGCGCCTGTGGCTCAAGTGGCTAAGGCGCCAGCCACATACACCTAAGGTGGCGGGTTCGAATCCCCAGCCCGGGCCCGCCAAACAACAATGATGGCTGCAACCAAAAAATGGCCAGGTGTTGTGGCGGGCGCCTGTAGTCCCAGCTATTTGGGAGGCTGAGGCAGGAGACTCGCTTGAGCCCAGGAGTTGGAGGTTGCTGTGAGCATGATGCCATGGCACTCTACCCAGAGGGATAGCTTGAGGCTCTGTCTCAAAAAAAAAACAAAAAAACAAACTTTGGTCTAGGAGCAGCTTGGACTGGGAATCTATAAAAGATTCTTCTACTATGAGCATGTCCTCAAATCAGATTTCCAAATCAGAGGTGCCTCTCCTTGAGGCTGAGCCTGTAGTATCCTGGCTTTGTATCTCTTACTGGCTCTCACATACAGCTCTTGTCTGCAGTTTAGCCAGCCCGGTCATTTGAGGAGTACCTCCCAGGACTGTGTGGTGTTTCTCACTTTTTTTTTTTTTTGTAGAGACAGAGTCTCACTTTTATCACCCTCAGTAGAGTGCGGTGGCGTCACACAGCTCACAGGAACCTCCAACTCCTGGGCTTAGGCAATTCTCTTGCCTCAGCCTCCTGAGTAGCTGGGACTCCAGGTGCCGGCCACAGTGCCCAGCTGTTGTTTTGTTGCAGTTTGGCTGGGCCCAGGTTTGAACCCGCCACCCTCAGTATATGGGGCCAGCGCCCTACCCACTGAGCCACAGGCGCCACCCTCTTTTTTTTTTTTTTTGACAGTCTCATTTTGTCACCCTTGGTAGAGTGCCATGGTGTCACAGCTCACAGCAATCTCCAGCTCTTGGGTTTTGGCAATTCTCTTGCCTCAGCCTCCTGAGTAGCTGGGACTATAGGCGCCCACCACAATGCCCAGATATTTTTTGTTGCAGTTTGGCTGGGGCCGGGTTTGAACCTGCCACCCTCTGTATATGGGGCCGGTGACCTACTCACTGAGCCACAGGCACTGCCCTCTTTTTCTTTTTTATAGATGGGGTTTTGCTATGTTGCACAGGCTAGATGTGAACTCGAGGCTCAAATGATTCTCACCTCCTCAGCCTTTCTAGTAACTGCAACTGTAAGTGTGCCCACTGTACCCTCTGTTCTTTCTAACAAATATGTGTCTGTACAGCTTATTCTTGAGAAGGAAGCTGATAATCGGCCAGGAAAGAAAGGTTTGCAGTCCAGGGGCAGGTGAGAGAAAGGTTTGCATTCCAGGGGCAGGTGGGGAAGCAGAGAAACCACTCTCTCCCCCACTAGGCCTGTGGTCAAAGGAGTTTCTGTGTAAAACTGCCAAAGCTCAGTGGAGGAACTTTGGGTTTGAGTGGGTGTTGTGGGTGCTTTGCTCTCAGGGAGGGCATCTGAGGGGTTCAAGAAGGAAAGCTTGCCTCCAGAGTTTCAAATTGGAAAGGTGCTAGCTAAGAGGAGGACAGGCATCTATTTGCCCACATTCATTGGCCTTTGAATAGTTAAGTCATGTAACTTTCTGAAAATAGATTGTTTGGTGAACATTCTTAAAATATCCCAAACCAGCTGTCTTCAAAATTTTAAGCCCCCCAAATGGTGGCTTTTTTCAAGCATATAAATTCTCTTTTGGAATGTAGCAGTCTTAGTTCTCCCTGGTGACTCAGTGTTGTCAGTGGCTGCCTTGGTTTCCTCTTCGTGCTGAAGGGAGAAAGAATGAGGAGTTGAGGTTCTTCATCTTCTCACCAAAGTCTGGCCTGGGTCTCTGTATTATCTCTGAAGCCATTAAAGATATACCCACTTGAGAGCTCTTTAAAAGAAGGGTTCCTGGCTCGGCACCTATAGCTCAACCGGCTAAGGTGCCAGCCACGTACACCTAAGGTGGCGGGTTCGAATCCCCAGCCCGGACCCACCAAAAACAACAATGACGGCTGCAACCAGAAAAAATAGCCGGGCGTTGTGGCGGGCGCCTGTGGTCCCAGCTACTTGAGAGGCAGAGGCAAGAGACTCGCTTGAGCCCAGGAGTTGGAGGTT